TTGGCCGCTTCCCCCTTCCTGAAAATTGTACCATTATGTAGCCAATAACAGCAAGTAAAAATGAAACGAAAAAAGAAAAGCTTAAACCATACATGTGATCGCGCTGTACGTCTGAAACGCTCAGTCTTCCACTGTTTTCATCCCTCGCCCACTCTCGACTCCCGCCATCGCTTCGTGCAAACTAGGAGCAGATGCGCGACAACCATTCAGAGTACCGAAGAACGATTTGTTCGCTATAAAGCCGAAAACCAGATCTCATCCGCCAGCAATTGCCCAGACATTTGGTCCCTTGCCAAAGCCATTTCTCGTACGTTCTGTCCTTCCAACTTCCCTCTATCTTTAATTCCTCTGGTGAACGTGTATGTCAATCACACGAGAAAACTGAGGTTTTTACTTCCCAGTTTGCCGCATACTGCACCTTATTCAATGATCCTGCACCTACACCTTCCTTCTTCGCTGGCAACCCCTTTGTATCTCATATTAGCACTTGGAAAATACGTCAGATGTTGCGCTCTCTAAACGTTAACAAACCACCCGGTCCGAACGGTCTTTCACCCATCGTCCTCAAAACGTGTGCTCCCGAGCTGGCTCCTATTGTTTGTCGTCTTTTCCGTCTTTCCATCCAACTTGCTTTTTTTCCAACCGCTTGGAAATACGCCGTGATCTTGCCGATTCCCAAACACGGCAACCGTTCTGAACGCAACAGTTATCGGCCCATTTCCCTCATACTTGTTCTTTTGAAAGAATTTGAAACTATCATTTCCGGGCAACTACGCACACTCCTCGAACACGAAGAACTACTGAGCGACCGCCACTATGGCTTCCGAGAGCGTCGCTCCACCGGTGACCTGCTGGCTCTTGTATCACAATCCCGGTCAGCTTCACTGGATAACCACCGAGAAACACACTTGGTCTCGCTTGACATCTCAAAGGCCTTCGACCGAGTTTGGAACGAAGTTCTACTGGCGCAACTGCCCTTGTTCGGGTTCCCTCTGGTGCTCATAGCGTGGATATCAAGTTTCCTCAGCAAGCAAACTAACTCCGTTCCAGTTGATGGGGTTCTCTCTCAGCTGTTCCATACGAATGCTGGCGTTTCCAAAAGTTCAGTGCTTTCTCCCCGCCCTCTTCTATTTATCAATGACCTCCTTCCCAAAACTGTCAACCCGATCCATTCGTTTGCCGATGACGCTACCATTCACTGCTCCGTCTTCTACCGCACTACTCGCCATGCCCAAACCAACATCGATTGTGACCGTGGTGCAGTTAATGTCAATGGACTCCGGTCTTGAATACATCTCTTCCTGGAGCCTTGCAAACTACGTTTTAGTTCCAAAACATCCCTTCAATTCCTCGGAAACACCATTCATTCCCCCCCTCCCACATATCCTTTGATTCCACTCAACCGCGTTCCAGAAACTCTGTTTCCGTTCTTGATTGCCCATAACTTCTACTTTATGCCGGTCACATTTTATAACTTCACTTCCTTATCGTGCTGCGTGCCAGGCTTGTTTTTTATCTCGTGTTAGACGTTTTTTCGCCACAGGTTATCTTCTACTGTACAAAGCTCAAAAGGACCCTTATCTTGAATACTGCGCACTCTACCTACAAACTCAACACTCCATAACCCTCACTAATATTCGTATTTTAAATCTAGTGTTAATTCTCTACACCACTTTCTCCAATCTTCTTTCCCCTTGGCTTTATTTTTTATTGAGACACAAATCTCTCCCTCGTAAGACACTACTCATCTTCAGTTCACTAATTACTTCTTTCATTCTTTTGTCTGAATTTGGTGTCTGCGCCCATATCCATCATTCGGTCGCTTCTTCCCAGCTTTCGCACCTAGACTTTTCCAACCGTGAATTCCAGAGTGTGGCTGAAACTGCCATCATGACGAGATTGCATCTTGACGTGGTGTGATGGCTTGTGCACCTCCCTGACCCAACGAGCTACACAGGATGGCTTTTTTCAAGCTAGGAGATCTGATTATGCCTGGAAGTCAATGGGTAGAGGTCAGACAAAGTCCAGTCTCCTGGTCCTCTGGGTTGGGGGTTTGACTGGAATTTGCCTTTTAGTCGATAAAAAGCGGTGGAGTAATTGATCCAAGTAAATGGGCCTCCACTTCGCCTCACCCGCTGCCTTGCGGTTAGGTTCTTGCCAAAACTAAAGGCTTTGATTGAGAACCCTAATCGTTCTCCTGCTTAGTGCCTGGACACCCTAGCAGTACCCGTCCATGAAACCCAATGCATACACAAACTAAAAATAATTCGGTCGTCGCGCAGGATAATCAGTACCGCGCTGCCCATTGCATCGAGCGGGGTAGGTAGTGACAAGTGGGCTATTGCTCAGACTTCCCAACCTTTGTTTAACTATTTGTTTTCCGTACTTAGCCCTCTCCATTTTCCCCTTCTTCTGACCTGTAATAGTCCCTCAAGCAACTTGGATGTCGCCCACCTGAGGTCGTTGCCAAATAACACTGTAAGTAATGTACAACGAAATGGATTGCAGATTCTGAAGCCTCGTCAATCACTTAATCTGGGGGCCTTCAACGTGAGGACTCTGATGCAGGTAAGTTGTCTGACTCGCACAATGGAATCCTTAGGGATCAATATTTGCTGCGTGTCGGAGACTCGAATTCAGAACCCTACTACTGTAAGCTGCTTGAGCGCGCCAGAATAATCTTCGAGATACGTTCTTCGCACATCAGGCGACGATGAAGCTCGTTCAGTAGGTCAGCGC